CAAATCTGCTCCACAAGACCTCTTTAAAGTGCTAAAGAGCAAAGGTATCAGTTTGAGAACTAAGTGGTGTCTGACCCAAGTCATGGTATTTTCAATAGCTTTATATAAATGTGAAAGTTGGACAATGAATAAGGAACAACCCTGAAGAATTGATGCATTTGAGTTATGCTGTTGGAGAAGAATACTAAAGGTACCATGGACTGCCAGAAGAACAAACAAGTGTGTGGGAGAAGTAGAGCTAGAATGCTCCTTGGAAGGCAGAATGATGAGACTTTGTTGCTCATATTTTGGACAGAAGGGACCAATCCCTGGAGAACGAAATCATGCTTGGTAAAGTGGGGGGTCAGCAAAAGGCAGGAAGACCCCCAGCGAGATGATTGGCACAGTGGCAGCCACAGTGAACTCAAGTGTAACAATTGCGAGCCTGGTACAGGGCTGGGCAGTGGTTTATTCTGTTGTACAAAGGGTTGCCGTGAGTCTAAGCTCACTTGATTATGCCTAACAACAGAAAGTGAGCATGTTATGGTCAAAAGAGCAAAAATGCTTGGCCAAGGCACTATAGCTAGTTACCTTCAGAAACAAGTTTAGAATGTGTTTCTCAACAGCCCTTGGCACACTTTTGCCAGACCACTAAACAAAACAAAACAAAGCAAAGCAAAACAAATGAATTGTTGCCAATGAGTCAATTCTTACTTATTTCAACCACATGTGTGCAGAATAGAATTACTCTATAGAGTTTTGAAACTGTGTCTTTTCATAAACAGGTCACTAGATCTTTCTTCTGATGCATCTCTTGGTAGTTTCAAATTGGCAGCCTTTTAGTTAATAGGAAAATGCTTATTAACCATTTGCAGCATTCAAGGATGCTCTGGTAGCGTAGTGGTTACGAATCGGGCTGCGAACCTTAAGGTCAGTGGTTTGAAACTACCAGCCGCTCCGCGGGAGAAAGATGAGGCTTTCTCCTCCCGTAAAGATTTACACCCTCGGAAACCCTGTACAGGGTCGCTATGAGACGGAACTGACTCGAAGGCACTTAACAACAACAACAACAACTATACCACAGGATTACCTGAAAAAGGATTTGGAGGCTTGTCTTCTAGAGATGACATCACCAAACAGAACACAGCAGAAGTTTTATTTCAGATATTACAAATGGTAAAAGGTCAAGGGACAGTCTGAAACATGGAGATATTTGACTTCCACCCTGTGCCATCCTGTTATCTCCTTTCCTGCCATGGCCCCTTTGCTTTAAAGATCATTTTGTAAAGGAGTAGGTGGCTCTCCTAGGATCACTATTACATACATGTTGTTGTTGTTGATGTTAAGTGCCGTCAAGTCGGTTCCGACCCATAGCGACCCTGTACAGGGTTTCCGAGGCTGTAAATCCTTACTGGAGTAGAAAGCCTCATCTTTCTCCCACAGAGCGGCTGGTAGTTTCGAACGGCTGACCTTAAGGTTCGCAGCCCAATTCGTAACCACTACGCTACCAGAACTCCTTACATACGGTGTATAATGTGGAAATGTGAGATGCACTTGCCATCCTGGTAATGAAAGGAGCTCAAGATGGCTTGTGTTATTTTTGAATACAGGGGCTCATACTCTTTAGTTTCTTTTGTATTATAATTGCAGATCAGAACATAGTTTATGTTGTTAAAAGTCTTTGCATTTTTAATGAGGGAATGTTGATCATATTCAAGAAGAATACTTGAGTTGTGGAGTCTTGGTGTAGTGCTGTGGGATAAAGCACTGGACAGCAAGGTCAGTATGAATCACAAGGTTGGCAGTTCAAACTCAGCAGCTGCTCCTTGGAAACCCTATACAGGGTTTCTATGAGTTAGAACTGACTTTACAGCACTTATAAACAACAAGGAACTTGAGTTGTACTCCTGAAAAGTTCTGAGTTCCTGAAAATGCAACCACAGGAATTCTGTATCTCCAAATGGAGGTTATATTGGTGGTAAATATGCTAGAAAACAAATGTTTTCACAAATGGACCAATAGACAACATCATGATAAGTGAAGAAAAGATTAAAGTTGTCAAGGATTTCATTTTCCTTGGACCTACAATCAATGATCATGGAAACAGCAGTCAAGAAATCAAATGACATATTGCATTGGGCAAATCTGTTGCAAAACACCTCTTTAAAGTGTTAATGAAAACAAAGATGTCACTTTGAGTAATAAGGTGCACTGAACCAAGCCATGATATTTTCAATCACCTCATATGAATATAGAAACTGGACAATGAATTAGGAACACAGAGAAGAATTGATGGATTTGAATTATGGAGTTGGCAAAGGATGTTTAATGTACCATGGACTTTCAGAAGAACAGACAAGTCTCTCTTAGAAGAAATACAACCAGAAAGCTCCTTAGAAGTAAAGATGGCGAAACTTTGTCTCATGTACTTTGGACATGTTATTAGGAGGGACCAGTTCCTGGAAAAGAGCATCATGCTTGGCAAAGTAGAAGGTCAGTGTAAAATAAGATGTCACTCATTGAGATGGATTGATATAGTGGCTGCTACAATGGGCTCAGACATAGCAATTGTGAGGGTGGTGCAGGACCAGACAGTGTTTCACTCTGTTATGTGTAGAGTCACTATGAGTTGTAACTGACGTGAGGGCACCTAACAACAACAATGCTGGATGGCCTACCATTGAATAGTCCCAAAGAATCCTGTAGCTCCATTTTTAGCTACTAAGGAGAGAACACAGGGCTAACTTACCTTTGACATTGACAGTCACCACCTGGCTAAGCTGAGCCCCCAGGCTATTGTTGACCTTACAGGAGTAGCTTCCAGAATGTTCTGCTGTCAGAGAGAGCTTGAAGAATGCTCTTCCTCCAGAAAGGACTGAGCTATCGCCCAAGGTGACATCTTCATGATAAAATTGATATGAGATTGGGAAAGAGCCTTTTTGAACTTCACAGTGAAACTCCACAACATCTCCCACCACAACCTGGGTCTTGGGAGTCCTGAGAGTAAGGACAGGGCGAGACACTGGAACTGAAGGAGGAAACATAATTTACCATCAGTTTCTACTATTTAAATATATTACTTTTATTAAAGGCTGTGTTGCAATGAGTTACTTAATATGAACATTTTAACTATAGACTTTGTGACTCCTACACAATAATTGGGTGGAATTACGTAAATAAGGTTGCTTGTGACCCAACAAGAGAACTGGAGAGTTTGCTAATAAGGCAAACAAGGTACATTGACACTGGGAGTGGGAAAATGCAAATAGGGTGTATAGAACCTGAATGAGGGAATTGGTCAGTTTGCCATCCTTCTAAGCTTAAAAAGAAAAAAAAAAAAAAGGGAATCTCAGATACAGGAGAACTTCACTGCCACCAAGAAGAAGAGCTGGTAGTGGAGTGCATCCTGTGAACCCAGGGTCCCTGTACTGAGAAACTCCTAGACCCAGGAGAAAGAGAGAGAGAATTGTAACACCAGAGACAGCATGAAGCACTGAGAAGTGATGATAGAGAAATGGCAGGAATGGTAGAGTGGTCTTCCTGACCCATGGAGTGAGGCGGCTACAGTGGGTATGCCAACTCATGACATGAGAGAGCTAAAAGCCTCAGCTAGGAGGCTTAATGGATGGAATGGGGAGTGGGGGTGGGGTTTGGGCAATTGGCAGAGCTAAAGAACTATGTAACACTTGCCCAAGCAGGGCAGGGGCCAGAGAGAGGCCTGCTGGTGAGTGACTGAGAAGAGACTACCCTGATCTAAGAACTGTATCCAGAGTTGTTCCTGACCTTGAATTCTAACCTGTTACTTCCCTAAGAAGTCACAGAGTTGTGAGTTCTGTGTGGCCATTGCAATGAAATATTGAAACCAGCAGAGAAATATAGAGTGCCCTGGGAGGGACAGCTGATGTCAGAATTGCTCAAAATGTTGGCGAGAATAGGTATAGGAATCAGCCTTGGGCTGTTGATCTTGATTCTCCTTCCTCTTTGTGAAGGTAGTGGAGGTAATGTGCCCTGCCACACCATTTTTGCAAAGGTATTTCCACCAGGAAAACACTTTTCTCTGTTTTCAGTGACCTTGTGACATCACTCAAAATGCAGATATAAATTCTTCAGATCTGAGAAAACAATGACATTTGTGTAGTGCTTTACATAGTTTGGAGTACTTGGATAGACAATCTTAAATGTGTTTGAGGAATCTGAAAACAAAGATTAAATAAGAACTCAGGCACCTGAGAAGTCAAAGGATGATTGAGGGAAATGAAAAATGTGGTCAAAGGAAAGTGAGGAACAGGAATGAACTGCTGCTTTTGTAGCCATGGATGTAATTGTAACTCGACAGCATCAGAAGTTGGGCCCACAAAGGAATGAGCACTGGTCAATTTATCTGGTCCTTTTTCATCAAAAGTTAATTGAGAAATTAGTAAGTCCCAGGAATTGCTTTGTATGCTGGGGATTCAATGTTGAGAAAGACAAGTTCCTGCTCTCATGAAGTCTACAATCTAGAGATATTGCTAGGCAGCAATTAAACAATTATGCTATTATTGTTGTTAGGTACCATTGAATATGTTCCTACTCACAGTAACCCTATGCACAGCAGAATGAAACACTGGCCAGCACTGTGTCATCTAAACTATTGTTCCATTTCAGCCCATTGCTTCTGCCACTGTGTCAATCCATCTCGTTGGAGGTTGAAAGTCTTTGCATAGTCAATCAATACAAGTAAAAATCTTTCTGGTATTCTTTGCTTTCAGGCAAGATTCATCTGATGTTATCAATGATATCCTTCATTCCATGTCCTCTTATGAATCCAGCTTGAATTTCTGTCATTTCCCTGTTGCAACCACTTTTGAATTATCTTCAGCAAAATTTTACTTGCATATGATGTTAATGATATTACTTGTTTGATGATGTCTGCATTCCATTGCATCACTTCTCTTTGGAATGGGCACAATTTGGATCTCTTCCAATCAGTTGACCAGATAACTGTTTTCCAAATTTCTTGGCATAGATGAGTGAATGCCTCCAGAACTTCATCAGTTTGTTGGACGATTTCAATTTGTATTCCATCAATTCCTGGAACCTTGATTTTCACAAAAGCCTTCAAAGTAGCTTGAACTTCTTCCTTCAGTATCATTGATTCTGTTGTTGTTGTTTTTTCCATAGGTTGTCTCTTTCTTTTTTGAGGTGCATTTTTTTTTTTTAAGTTTTTATTGTGAATTGAGGGATAGTTTACATGGGAGAACATTAGTTTTACACTCATCCTATCATATTTTGTTCCATTACAATGATTACAATCCCCTCCATGCATCATCATTCAACACTATTTGCTGTTTGTTGTTGTTTTTTTAATGTATGCAAACACACTCAGGAATATGTAATCATTTAAACAACCAACCAAAGGGCACATTCTGCAAACCTGCCTCCTGGCTGCCAGCACATAACCTTTCCCTTTCCATGAGTCTGGAGTCCTCAGCTGCTCTGTCTCTCCATGTCATCATCTCTGCCTCCATCTCTGGTGTCACTGCTTCTCTGGATAGGGTCCCACATTAGGTTCATGCTCTTCTCTCTTGATGGTCCTTGGGTGCTCTGTTGCTGGACTGTATGATTAACTACTCCCCCCTTTGTGTTATAAAACTTCTACCTTTACAGTTGTGACAATCACAATTAGTCATGATAATAATTCATAAGTGATTATTGATCATATGTTACCTCTTGAAATGGTTAACATTGACAATTTTTTTTTTTTTTGGTACAGTGACTGTATTTCTTCCATCTTCTTTTAAGGTTTTCTGCATCATTCAATATTTTCCCCATGTTGTGTTGCCGTTATTAAGTGCCATCAAATCAGTTAGACTCATTGCAACCCTGTATATGAGGAGTGGCTGGTGAGCTGGAACCATTGACCGGCTCACCAGTCACTCCTCTGAAACCCTATACAGGGTCTGAGTCAAAACTGTTCAATATTGCAAGTAAAGGCTTGATTTTTTTTTTTTTTCTTCAGTTCTTTCAGTTTGAGAAATGCTCTTCCCTTTTGGTTTTCTAACTCCAAGTCTTTACATATTTCATTATATGCTTAATTTTGTTTACTGAGATGCCCTTTGAAATTTTCTGATCAGCTACTTCCTCATTTTTTTCATTTACTTTAGCTTGTCTATGCTCAAGAACAAGTTTCAGAGTCTGTTATGCCATCCATTTGGCCTATTCTTTCTTTCCTGTCTTTTTACTGACCTTTTGCTTTCTTCTTGAATGATCTTCTTGAAGTCATTCCACAACTTTTCTGGTCTTTGGTCATCAATGTCTAATACATCAAATCTGCTCTTGAGATGGTTTCTAAATTCAGGTGAGGTATGTTCAAGGTCATATTTTGACTCTCATGGACTTGTTTTAATTTTGTTAAGCTTTTGTCTGAGCTTGCATATGAGCAATTGATAATCTGATCCACATTCTACCCCTGGTCTTGTTTTGAGTGATGATATCAAGCATTTTCATCATCTCTTCCCACAGATGTAGTTACTTTGATTCCTGTGTAGTCCATCTGGTAAGGCCCATGTGAATAGTTGCCATTTATGTTGTTTAATAAAGGTATTTGCGATAGATAAGTCATTGGCCTTACAAAATTCTATCATGTGGTTTCCAGCATAGTTTCTATCACCAAGTCCATATTTTCCAACTATTGATCCTTTCTTTTAGATTCCAACCACCAGTAATTATCAATACATCTTGATTTCATATTTGAGTAATATCAGACTGAAGAAGTTGGCAGGATTCTTCAATTTTATTATCACTGGCTTTAGTGGTTAATAGATAAATTTGAATATAATGGTATTAACTAGTTTTCCTTGTAGCTGTATGGATATTATCCTATCACAGACAGCATTGTACTTCAAGATACATCTTGAAATTTCTTTTTTTAGGATGAATGTGATGTCATATAGCTTTAGTTTGCCTTTCCTGGCATAGTAAACCATATGATTAACTGATTCAAAATGGCGAATGATAGCTCATTAATGCCTAGTATATCTATCTTTATGCATTTCATTTAATTCGTTACAACTTCCAATCTTCCTAGATTCATACTTCCCACATTCCACATTCTAATAATTCATAGATGCTTGCAGCTGCTTCTCCTTATTTTGAGTTGTGCCCCATCAGCAAATGAAGGTCATGAAATCTTTACTCCATGTCATTATGGTCAACTCTACTTTTAGGAGTCAACTCTTCCCCAGTGTTATTTGGAATGTCTTCCAACCTGAGGGGCTCATCTTCTGGCACTGTATCTAACAATATTCTGCTGGTATTCATAATGTTTTCATCTTCTGGTACTATTTCTTATAATGTTCAATGTTCCATTGCTGTTCATAAGGTTTTCAGTGGCTAAGCATTCAGTAGTCTGCCTCTCCTTCTTCCTAGTCTGTCTTAGTCTTAAAGCTCAGCTGAAACCTGTCCATTATGCTATTTAAAAAAACAGTGATATAAATTCTAGCATCACAGCATCTTGCAAACCACCACAATGCAACAAACTGACAGACATGCTGTGGTAAACAATTATATAATGAATTATTAATGTATTAATTCAAATCAATCATACAAATATAGAATTGATGCACTGATAATTCATACCAAGTGAATAAAAGAGTACTATAAAATAGAATCACTGGAACCTGACCTAGCATGGGTTAATTATATTAACCAGGTGAGAAGGGAGGTAAAGTATGGGCCAAGTCGGACAACAGCATGTTTACAGGTCCTCAGTTGGGAGGAAGTTGGGCACATTTGAATTATTGAAACAAGATGGCAACAACACTAACAGCTGAAGGGCACCGTGAACAGGGAGGCTGGGGAACTAGACAAGGTTCACAATCTATGAGGATTTTGATCCCTGTCTAAAGAGCAATGGGAAGTTAATAAATATATCTATCTATACAGGAGTATAAGATGACCAAATTATCTTTCTAAAGGACTGCTCTGACTTCAGTGTGAAATATAGATTGTAGTAGGTCAGAATGGAATAAATAGGCAGGTAGGTAGTGCTGCAGTGGTGAAAATGATGGTGGATTTGACTAGATTATTGGTGGTAGAGAAAGAAAGATCCAAGAAGGAAATAAAGATCCAAGAAGGAAATAAAATCAACAAAACATATTGACATATGAGGGGTGATAGAGAAAGATAAAAAGGAAGAGAATGCCTTAACCTTTTTTTTTTTAAATCAATCTACAGAGAGAGGATAGCACAACAAAAACTCTTTTAGATAAGATGCATTGAACTTTATTTTATAACTTCTGTCTTTCTGATGATTGTTGAGCAGAATATAATTTGCATTTTGAAAAGTCTTCATTCCTATAGTAGGAGAGTTTGGTTTAAAGACTGAATAGTGTTGCTACAAGGAAAGGTAGAACAAGTGAAACGTAGGTTCAAGTTCCTGAAATGTAGAACCCAGAACTCTCAGATGGTGATTATGGAGACAGCAGGCCTTCCATGCTATTAGGCAGCATATAGTCCTGTGTATCCCTGTAGCTCCAGCTCCCACTACTGCAGGGAGGTCAGAAAGGCAGTGTTGATTGTTGAGAAGACCAACTTACCTATGGCACTGAGTAGCACTGTATAGCTGTGCTGGGTCCCCCTACCGTTGTCAGCTGTGCAGTGGTAATTCCCAGAATGCTTTTCAGTCAGAGAGAAACTAAAGGAAGCTCCTCCTCCAGAAAGAACTGATCTTTTTTCCAGGATGACATCTTCATGATAGAATCCATACTGGATTGGGGGTGAGCCTCTCTGGGACTCACAGTGAAGCTCCACCATGTCTCCAACCACAGCCTGAGCCCTGGGAGTCCTGAGTGTGAGGACTGGGGGAGATACAGGAACTGAGGGAAGAAGTGAGATAGAAGATATCAGTATCATTTTTTCCCCCCAGTCAAATGCCTCGTTAAAAAAATAAAAACAAATAAAAATAAAACCCTACAGAGCTCTATAACACAATAATGCAAAGTTCTTTCATCTCCTTTATTTTCATTTTCCAGAGATCACTTCTGTTGACTGTTTGGTGGTACTTTCTAGATCTTTTAAATGTATAAATACATACACATATTCACACATAAATAAATAGATAAAAATGCACCTGATCTGAATCACAACATATCCGCTTCTCTACAGGCTGCTTTTTCCTCTTTACAACATATCATAGCTGTTTTTCTACGGCCTTACTTAGAGATCAACACCATTCTTTTTTTAAATGAACTTTATTGAGGTATAATTTGCATACAATAAAATGCAATGTTTTAAAATGTAGAATTTGATTTTTTGATCAATTTTATCTAATTATTTTTAACAACAAAATATTCCGTTGTATGAATTGGTTGTGACAATAATCATTTCCCTATTAATGGAAGTTTAAGGATGTTTTCTTTTAAAAATTCAGATAATTCTGCATTAAACAACACTATAGATCTATTTTGCATTTGTATATGTGTTTTTAGGCAAAATTCTTAGAAGTAGAATTTTTGGACTAAGGAATATGAACATTTTAAATGATGATATATAATACCAGATTGTTGTTCAGAAAGCATGAATCAATTTACATTTGCATTGTGGTATATTGCTGTTGTTAACTGCCTTTGAGTTGATTCCTATTTATAGTGACTCTGTATCGGGTTTCCAAAGCTGTAAATTTTTGTGGAAGCAGACAGTCTGATCTTATCCTGAGGAGCAGCTTATGGACTCAAACTGCCATCCTTCTGGTTTGCAGTTTGTTGTTTGTCATACAAATAGTATATAAGAGCTCCTATTCTCCATTCTCTGGTCAAATTGCAGTCCTATACATGCAATGGTTTACTTTAATTATCCTCTTTGCTTGATTTTGGCCTTTATAGCTACTCCATCTGAACTATTCACTCATTCTATGCTATGTAACCTTACAGCCTAGTCAATTTTCAAAGATGACAAAAATCCTCACAATTGTAGTAATAAACAGTATTATAATGAATGGAAAAAAGATTGAAGTTGTCAAGAATTCTAGTTTACTTCTTACCACAGTCAGCACCCAAGAAATCAAATGAATTGTGTTAGGCAAATCTATTACAAAATATTTCTTTAAAGTGTTATAAAAGCAAAAATGGCACTTTGAAAACTAAGGTCTGCCTGAGCCAAGTCATGGTATTTTTAATTGCCTCATATGCATGCGAGGGACTGGTGGTGTGGCACTGTGGGTTAACGTGGTGGACTGCAAAGTTGGTTTGAATTGCAAGTTCAGTGGTTCAAGCTGCTCCTCAGAAACCCTATACAGGGTTGCTATGGATCAGAACTGACTTGACAGCACTTAACAACAACAACAACAATGCATGTGAGAGGTGGACAATGAATAAGGAAGACAAGAATTGATGCCTTTGAATTACAATATTGGTGAAGAATAGTAAATATAACATGGATTGTCAGGAGAACAAACAAATCTATCTGGGAAGAAGTATAGCCAGAATGGTCCTTAGAAGATAGAATGGTGAGATTTCATCTCACTTTGGGCATGATGTCAAGAGGAACCAATCACTGGAGAAGGGCATCATGATTGGTAAACTAGAGGGTCAGCAAAAAGGAAGAATACTCCTAACGAGATGGATTGACCCAGTGTCCAAAACAATGGGTGTAAACAGCTATAACAAAAACAGTGCAAAAAGGACAAGGAATTGTTTTTGTTTTGTAGCATAGTGGATTATAAAATAGATTGAAAACACAAGGTCAGCAGTTCGAATCTACCAGCTGCTACTCAGAATAAAGATGAGGCTTTCTGCTCCTGTAAAGATTTATAGCCTCAGAAACTCTATACGGAGTTGTCCTGAGTCAGAACTGACTCAACAGTGCACAATCACTACCATCATTGCACATAGGGTCTCTATGAGTTAGAACCAACTCAACAGCACCTAGCAACAAGAAGCTACAAATGGAAAATATATCATTAATTAAAAAAATTATAAACTCAATTATTTTTCATTTCATATTATGGAGCCCTAGTGGGATTGTGGGTTAGGCATTAGGCTGCTAACTTCAAGGTCAGCAGTTCAAACTCATGAATCAATCCTCAGAAGAAAGATGAAGCTGTCTGCTTCTGTAAAGATTACATTTTTGGAAACCCTGCATAGGGTCACTATGAGTCAGAAATGACTTAATGGCAGTGGGTTTAGGTGTCATTGTAATTTATAATAATAATAATAGTAAGGAGTCCAGTTAAGGGCTTGGTTGCTCATTAAAATGTTGGCTGTACTAACTCATCTCTGTACCATAAGACAGACAATCTGGTGATTTGTTCCCATAAATTAGAGTCTAAGAAAGCTAGAGGGTAGTTCTCCTCTGTCACATGGGGTAACTGTGAGTGGAAGTCCACTGTACAACTCACAACAAAAACAATACAATAATAATGATAAGGAGGCAATTATTGTGTGTGTTTTTTATTTCCTTTCCTCCCTCTGGCCAACTGATTTTTCTTTGTTACATTTATTTTTTCCATTTTCAGTATTTATAATAGCTACTTTCTATTCTATAATTCTCATAGCTTATTAGTTTCTGTTTCTATATCAAAATTAGTGGTGTTCATCCTGATTTGTACACTATTCTTACCTGAGGAAGTTGTAAAACATTGATTCTGGAGCCCACCTGAGACACTTTCCCATGATCTAAGCTAGTCTCCCTAACTAGTCACCACCACTGCTTTGGAAGTGTATCACGTAGTATCATCAGTTAAGGCAGAAGCTGAGAGAGTAAGAAGTCACTGTCCAGAATCCTTAGGCAGTAGATGCTAGGGTTAGCAGAAGCCATGTGGAAACAAAAATCCTGAGATTGATAAAGGGATTATGGAGTGTAGTTAGGAGGAGAAAGAGAACAGGGACAGGAAGGCAGAGAAAGAAAATAGTTGGTGGATATAGCAGTAGTGTTACACTCCAAACACTGAATCTGGAGCTCAGTGTGTGACAGAAGTCAATCACACATCGAGATGAAAAGCAGAAAGCACACCTTTATTGTTGGATTCACAACAGCTGAAGCTGGAGCTACACTTGGTAAAATACCAAGCGCTCCAAAGTTCTAAAAGAGGAGACAGAGTTCTATACAGGAGAGCTGGGAATTATGTCTGAATCATAAATAAATCTAGTTTTGCCATAGATTTTCTGTTCAAGTAAACTGTGTACACAAACATTTTTCAGTAACATTCTTGCCATCCTCTTCTTGGAACATCCTATCATTTATTTAGCCATAGACTATAACTTTGTTATACACTAGTTACAGGCATTCTTTCTTAGGACAAAACATTTTGATCATAGTCTTAAAGTAAGCTTGATTCACTCAAGGGTTAGTGGGGGAGGGTGTTGTGCATATTCTGAAAGCAAAAGGAGAAAGGGATTTAGGACAAAGGAAGTTTGGATTTAAACCTATGTCAGTCAGTTATGCCAGGTGCCTCAGTTTCAGGTGATTAATGGTTTATGACTTATCTCTAGTGTTAGTAAACGTCTTAACTATCTGTTGCTTCTTAAAAAGTTATAGTTACTTCTCTTAACTCATTGGGAGGAACACTGGAAAATTCCTTTGGAGAATATGCATTGCTCTCTCAAACTCTGTGTCAGGAAGAGTTGGTAGACATAGAACATAGTTCATTGTTGTCAAAAAAAAACCTTGTTTGAGAAACACTATATTCTCAGAAATCTCTCAGTTCTTCTTCCATGAATTTGGCCATTCTGTCTTTCTTACTCTGTGGCTATCCTTACAACAAGCCCTCACCCACTGGGGACACCTGAGGTGATCTGTTTTATTGTGATGTATTACAGTCTGATAGATTAGACTCCAGGCTTTCCTGTTTCTCTGTAACAAAAAGTAGGTGTTCACTCCCTACTAAATGAAGATCCAAAAGTAAACCAAAGCAATTTCTCTTGCAAAGAGATGTTCTGAATGGTTACATGGGTAACAATGAACTGTACTCTAATAACAGAATGCTTGCCTAAATGTATATACTTCAACAAAAATTGAAAAACATTGTACAATAAAATTACATTCATTTTAATGAGTTAGAAGACAAGAAATAAAGGAAATCCTGGCAAATCAAGGAGCTGGTGTCCAGGGAGTCACCTTCTCTTTTCCTTTCATTTTAAGCCTTTTTCAGGCCTACTATCAGGACTCTTACAGCTTGAGAACAACTTGGAGAGACTGACATTTTACCTAATTTTTGTCCAAATTACTGTGCTGGTATTGCGCTGTAGGATAGCACTGGATTTTTAACTATAAGGTCAGTGGTTCAAACCTACCAGCCATTCCTCAGAAATCATAAACAACAGCATAGTTAAACTAATAAGCATTCCTGGGTACATATGAGCGTCTTCTGTGTATCTGGTTAAGAAAAAATGACTTGAGGACTGAATAGCTCCTGGCCTACAGGATGTGAGAAGAACAGTTGAGAAAATATATTCACTTGATAAAGTTTATGACGATTTCTTAGGGGTCTGGTTAAGCCTGGCCTAAAAGAAGATGCAAGTCTAAGCAGCTGGTTGGCTGAAAAGGGGAGTCAATGGGCAGATTAGATTAATGAGGGTAGGAAACAGTAAGGTCTAAATGAGAGAAACGTTTGAGACAGGGATGGGTGGTTGGCAGAAACCCAGGACTTACTCGTGACATCGAGGCTTACAACCTTACTGAACTGGTGCCCCTGGCCATTGTCAGCTGTGCAGTAGTAGTTTCCGGAATGCTCTGTGGTCAGAGTGAGGCTGAAAGATGCTTCTCCATAGCGTTTAGGGTGGCTCCTTATTTTGATATTATTACAATAAAACTGATATTGAATTGGGGGAGAGCCTTTCTGGGTTTTACAGTAAAATGTTACGGTATCTCCCTCAAAAGCTTGGGTCCCAGGAGATCTGAAAATGAGGACAGGCTGAGACACAGGAACTGAAGAAGAAGAAAAAAAAATTAGTCAGTAGTTGTTTCTGCTTCTTATTGCAGGTTTCAATCAGTGGCCAGGGCAAATTCATAGCTTCCAGTTCTCACTAGGCCCCCAAGGTAACCAAGGATCCTACAGAGCTCTCTGCTTGCTCTCTGCTGGCCATTTTGTCTTTTCCTTTCCCATCAGACCTCTATGGAGCCCTGGTGGTAGAGTGTTTAAAGTATTCCACTGCCCTTCTGCCTCAACTAGAACTAGCCTTGGGTTCTGTCTGACTGGACACTGTCTTCCTGAGCCTTTTCCTCTGCCACTAGCTCGTTTCCAGACTGGCTCTTCTACAATTTGTTCTTTACTCTACAGCTTGAGCAATCTTCTCCAGGATTACAATCTTTTATGTACGCAATTACCCATTGGAATGAAGTCCAAATCCTGACCATTGTTTCAAAAACCTGTGTAACTTGGCTCTGCTTCCCTCCCCAACCTCATCCCTGTCTTTTCCATGAATTTTACTCTATGCTGCAGTCCATATGAACTGGCTTCTTTCCAAATCCTAAACACACCCTCCTTCCTTCAGCTCTCATTGGAGCACAGCTTCTTTCTCTCCCCCCCCCCCCACCCCTATTGTTAGCTCCCACAGAATTGAAATTTCCAGTCTTGACTCATGGTGACCCATACACAATGGAATGAAACATGACTCAGTCCTGTGCCATAGATGGTTTTGAGCCATAGGGTTTACATTGGCTGATATTTAGAAGTTTATCTTCAGACCTTTCTTCCTATTCCATCTTAGCCTGAAAGTTCTGTTGAAACTTGCTTAGGGTCATAGCAACACAAAAGACATCAAAGATGGATAGGTAGAAATCAAGAATTCTGCCATGGAATCAATACTGTCCTCTCCCACACAATCTCTCTTCCTTCTGAAATAATCCTTGTTGTTGTTTTAGGTGCCATTGAGTCGGTACCAACCCATAGCGACATTATGCACAGCAGAACAAAACCCTGCCCGATCCTGGGCCAACCTCACTATTGTTGCCACGCTTGAGTCCATTGATGCTGTCACTTGGTCAATCCAACTCGTTGGGGGTCTTCCTTTTTTACTCTGACCCTCCACCTTACCAAACATGATATTCTTCTCCAGCAACTGATCCCTCCTGACAATATGTCCAAAGTATGAGAGACAAAGTTTGGCCATCTTGGCCTCCAAGGAGCACTC